GGTCCGCTAAGTCGGGCAGCTATTATATCAAGAAACGACGGAGTCCGACGGGACCTTGTCTGGACCGCACACCACAGTGTCTATGACGGCTGGAGCATAAACAAAATGACAGAGCTGCTCGCGCGACTAATACAGGGCGAGACTCGGTTAGCACCGGTCCCGGCGTCGCGTTTCATCGCCTATTTGTCCCGCCAGGATCAAGAAAAGACGACGGCCTTCTGGCGAACGCACCTCCAAGACGCTAGCTGGTCTCGGTTTCCACCCTTGCCGTCTCCGCAGTACAGCGCGGACCCACGTGACCTGCTGCATAGCCAACTCAATGTTTCACAGATATCAGGCGAGGTAACTACGCCGACGATATTGCGCGCTGCCTGGGCTCTACTTGTCTCGACATATACCGGCGCTGAAGAGTCGGTTACAAGCATTGTCTTATCCGGCCGCATGGCACCAGTGGAAGGTATAACAGACCTCGTGGCTCCGACTGTCACCTCAGTGCCCTTCCGGGTCTCTACCTCACGCGATCGTTCAGTACGCGACTTTCTCGCCGACGTACAGGATCGCGCGATCGAGATGATCCCTTACGAGCACACCGGCATCCAGAATATTCGGCGTATTGTGCCTGACCTTGGACCAGAGTTCGATCCAGGGCATAGCTTTATTGTTCAGCCAGCGGAGGAGAGCGAGATGGCAACATCAATCCCTTATACAGAGTTGGAACGGAGCACTACCTCCGGAAACGCCTTTGACGCCTATCCGCTGACAGTTGAGTGCACTATGGGCTTAAAGACAAACACCGTAGGGATCGAGCTTAGCTATGACCGGAAAGTTGTTGCTCCTGGTGATGCTCAGCGTCTGCTTACCTACTTCGACCATTTTGTACAAGAGCTTTCGCGAAACGCAGAGGCTGACCAGTCGCTTGAACATCTTCAGCTACAATTAGCGGAAGATAAGGCGCAGCTCTGCAAGTGGAACTCGGTCATGCCACCACGCATAGAGCGCTGCATTCACGACTTGGTCGGGGAGCAGATAACTGCCCGGCCGGCGGCGACCGCAATCAGCGCGTGGGACGGCGAGATGACCTACGGCGAGCTCGACGACGCCAGCCGACGATTGGCCCACCACCTCGTCGGTCGGGGGGTAGGCCCGGAGGTGAAGGTCGGCCT